CCTGGTCATCCTTTACAGGCCAAATTTTATGGCCCTTATGAAATTGAAAGCAAGATCAGTGATGTAAACTATGTAGTTAAGACACCAGGTCGAACGTAAAGAGAAACGGGTTTGTCACATTAACATGTTAAAAGAGTATTTTGAAAGGTGTGACCGAAATTCTGTAAAACCAGTTTCCACTTTAGCCAATGCTAAGACTGTTCAAAATTGTATTGAAAGTGATACGAGTGTAGAAATGAATGAGAAAGATTGTAATCAGAGTGTCCGCTTGAAAAACTCAGAAATTTTGGCTGATTTTGATGCCAAACTTGGACATTTGAACATTCACCAAAAAGAACAAGTTAAAAACTTGATGAATGAGTACCATCAAATCTTCTCGGATGTTCCAAAGAAAACTAATGCAGCTTGTCATGATGTTATAGTTGGCGACGCTCTGCCTATCAAACAACATCCGTACCGTCTGAATCCAATAAAATTGCAGTACCTAAGAAGGGAAGTGCAGTACATGTTGGACAATGACATTGTTGAACCTAGTAAAAGTGATTGGAGCTCACCGTGTATTCTTGTACCAAAACAGGACGGTTCGTACCGATTATGTACAGACTTTAGAAAGGTGAATTCTGTTACCAAAACTGATTCATATCCAATACCTAGAATTGATGACTGTATTGACAACATTGGAAACGCGAAATTTGTCAGTAAATTTGACCTGTTGAAAGGCTACTGGCAAGTACCGTTAACAGAAAGAGCAAAAGAAATATCTGCTTTTGCTACACCAGATGGACTTTACCAGTATAAAGTAATGCCTTTTGGCATGAAAAACGCACCGGCTACATTCCAAAGGATGATTCACTCCCTTCTTCATGATCTTGAGGGATGCGAGGCCTACATTGATGATGTCGTCATATACAGCAACACATGGGACGAACATCTCCGAATTATGCGTGCTTTATTTGACATTTTAGCTAAAGCAAACTTAACTGTGAATCTTGAAAAGAGCGAATTTTGTCATGCTTATGTAGAGTATTTAGGTCATAAAGTAGGTCAAGGTTATGTTACACCCATTATGGCTAAAGTGGAAGCTATTGCAAAGTTCCCGATTCCTACAAACAAGAAAGAATTAATGAGGTTTTTGGGCATGGCTGGGTTTTACAGAAAATTTTGTCCAAATTTTTCCTCAGTTGTTAGTCCACTTACAAATCTTTTGCAGAAGAGGGTTAACTTTGAATGGACAAAGGACTGTGAAAAATCCTTTCATAAAATCAAATCTGTCCTTATGAGCAACCCAGTTCTGTCAACTCCAGATTTTTCTAAGCAATTTAAGCTTACTGTTGATGCTAGTGATGTTGGAATCGGGGCAGCTTTGTTTCAAGAACATAGTGATAATGTAGATAGAGTTCTTTCTCTTTTTTTTCAAAGAAACTTACAAAATGTCAACAAAAGTATTCCACCATTGAAAAGGAATGCCTTGCTTTGTTGTTAGCCTTACAGCATTTTGATGTTTATCTGAATGTTACTTTGCATCCAATTCTTGTATATACAGATCACAACCCCCTGACATTTTTGCACAAATTGTCAAACAAGAATAAAAAACTGACTAGATGGAGTTTGTTGTTACAAGAATACAACATAACAATTAAGCATATCAAAGGCAAAGACAATGTTGTTGCAGACGCCTTGTCAAGAGTATCGTAAACATACTAGATTTTGTATTAATGTACATGTTTTACAATTTAAGTTTTTCATTGATATTCAAACTTTTTAAGGGGGGAGGTGTTGTGAGATGTGTATTGTTTCATCATGTATATTATTAGTAACATTAAGTTTCTTGAATATTCCAGAGTGGTCAACATGTTTGGTCATTTGATCTAGAACATTCTTAAATTTTGTGTATGTCCAGATTGTTCCAGTAATATCATGTTTTAACAATTTCTAGAATATTCTAGATTTATATTACTGTATAAATACCCTGTCAATTCGATGCATAGAGATACAATACTTTGTCGAATAAGCACTATTGAGATATAACTGGGATATATATTTTCACTGGGACATTGTGTGCAGAAACGGACACTCTGATGTATGTATTTTTAGATTCTTGCTAAGTTTGTACTTTATGTTTGATATATTTATTATATATTACTGTAAATAAATTATTGTTAAGTTTAAATTGTGTTATTGATCTTTGCTGGCATTTAGGGTTATTCTGACCCATAACATAACTCATTGCACTCATTTTTCATTATACAATTTTGATTTTTTTTTCATTATATACGAGGGCTGTTCAATAAATAATGTCCTGAACTGTATGATATACAATACAGATATCATATGACATTCAGCTTGTCTTTTTCTCATTATTGAATCTTTAATGAATTTATAATAATTTATGTGACCACTTTCCATCTCATAGTTTCATTGGGAGAAGCTGGAAAACAAGGGCTATTCGAGACACAGCATGTAAAATGAATGGTAAAGAATCAGTAAACTAGAGTGAAATTAAACACTTCATTCAGGCTACTGTAAAACTGTAAAGAATCCCAAAGAAATATTCACTGAAATATGTAACATTTACGGCAACCAATGTCCGTTTCATAGACAAATGAGTAGGTGGATTTCAATGATAAAAAATTATATAATGGGCATCAAAAATGGGTACCGTTCATACCAACGAAAAAATTAAAGAAGTAACGTATTGTTTGCCGAATTTCAACAAATAATATTTGATGATGTATGATTGACTTTAACGGACATAATTTAATAGAAATCATTTCGGGAGTAGTTCACACTGTTTTAAAGAAACGTTTGACAGTAAAAAAGCTTAGTACTCAAAGGTCATCCTATGTTTTGAAAAATGAGTGAAAACGACAGCGTGTAAGAATATTTAAACAATTATTTTAAAAAATCAAAGATTGTTGTTATCCAAGTTCGTTTGAAATTCAGACAGATAAAGAAACTTGAATCTATTGCTTAAAACCCTCGAAACAAAATTTACAACAAGATATACTTGACAAAAACAGCAAAGGTCTGAAAAGAACAAAGAATTGCATGAGCAAAAAGCCAGATTTATATGCAATTTTCTTAAATATTAGTGTCCTTGTTGTTCAAATTCGTATTCGGGGAAGCACTTTAATTTCTGGAAGAGTCTAGAAAGCAATTTTTTTTGAAAAAAAATCGAAAGGTTAATGAGATGAAGGAACCAGAATCAGGAATCCACTGCATTAATTTCTTCATGACAACGTCCAAACCCGCACGCCCTAAGAGTCAAGGAGTTTTGGGGATAAACATAATTATTTTTTTTTCACATTAACAATATTCACCAGATCTTTCGCCTTTTGACTTGTTTCATTTTCCAAACTTAAAAAAAAAACACCTTTCAGGAGGAAGAAACGAGTCCAGGAAATCATAAGATCTGCCATTTTTCAGTATACAAAGGGTCATACCCAAAAATGAGTTCTAAAAACAATCAGAAGTTGGATAATTTTTTACGGATATGCAGGCGCGTAGCTGCCTATACGCAAGTACGCAAGTGCGTACACATCATTTTCCAAAAAAAAAAAAAGGAAAGAAAGAAAGAGGGATAAAAGAAAAGAAGGAAAAAAGAAAGAGAGAAATTTATTCGGGGAAAAAGAGGCACTACCCGTGTTTCAAATTATTTTGCGTCTTATTGTTTCGATTCAAATTTTTTTCAGCAAGTCTGCACATTCAAATTCAGTCCTTTATAAAATAATATTCCAAAAACATCTTTCAACATTCTTGAGGAAAAAATATTGTTGAACTAAAATGTTCAACTTCAAATTAATCCGCGTAATACTGATTATCCGGACAAATATTTGATGAAGGTAAGCTATCTAAGGGACTTTGATCGAAAGAAAAAGTTTCAAAGGTCTTGGACGACTATACAAGATTTTTAATTTCGTAGAGGTAATGAATAAATGTCGTTAAACAATTTAAATTATGGTGAACAAAATAAATAATGATATAGCTTCTATTACTGATGTTACCAATTTAAAGAATTTTATTATAAATAATTGAAGCATTCTCGAATCGCTTCAGCTACATGTATAAAATATGAAGGTAATCAAAAGACAACAACACCACCGTTTATATTTTGAAATATTTAAACTCCAATGATAACGATATTGAAATATTTACTCTGTTTTATTTTGATATACCTGGAAACTTTTTTCCAATACCAATATATGCGTAAATTAATTTTATAAATTATCGTTCTGTTCCTGAAGTATCAATGGAAGCAGTATAACTTAGCTAAGTGTTTGCTCGAGAAAAGTGATATTATCGTGACTTCTTTTGAGAGAAAATGACTGAAAAATTTCGTAAAATCCAGGAGCTTCCGGGGGCTTCGCCCCCTGGGCCCCCACCAGGGCTTCGCCCTGGACCCACTGGGCGCCTCAGAGCGGCCCCCAGACCCCCGACCGTTTTCTGCGTACACTTAATTTCCATGCTGGCTACGCGCCTGATATGTGTTTTAATTAAAAGAGAATATTAAGTTAAATCATTAAGACTAAATCATTAAAAAGCGCTTTTTGCTTTTTTCCGAGCACCGAGGACATTATTTATTGAACAGCCCTCGTAATTTTATTTAAAATTCCATAAATTTCATTTCAATAAAATTATAGTTTATATTTATATCCTGTGATTTTACTTGTATTCTATAATTTTCCGTTTGTTAGTTCGTGTTGTTTTTTTAAACATAAATTTCTAGTTGTAGTGTACAGTTATCAATACAAATGGAAAATTCAACAATAAAGACAAAAACATTAAATTACAAAAGGAAAATCATAAATTACCCCCCCCCCCCAAAAAAAAAAAAAAATATATATATATATTTTCAAAAAGTAGAAAAACAAATGGAAAATTATAAAATACAAATAAAATTTTTGATAATGAATTTGTAAAATACCCGTCTTTAATAAAAAGAGATGGTTTATGGTAATATACCAATGTATATACTCCTCATCTTCCAGAAAAAAATCTACCTGTATCCATGGATTTGACTCCTTTTCGTTTGGACTCCAACCAAACGTGTGGGAGAGCCTGGCGTATTGGGGCAGGTAATCCTTGTCAAAGATACTGGAAACCGTCAGTTTGTCGTCCGTCACCGTCTCTACTAAATGATCGTTGCATGCATAGGCTATATTAAAAATAGTACGACAGTTGGTTACAATTAACTCAAAGTTCAATAAAATACCTGGAAGAAAAAAAGTTCAGTCATTTCAAATTAATATGATAACACTACTGTGAACCATTAATCACTTTGTTAATCAAATATAGAACATCTACGTTATGTACAATGTAATGTAATTGTAAAAGTTGAAAAAATATATGTTTTGTAAACTCTTATAAAGTGTTGAAAGTTGGATTTTTTTTCCTTTAAAATATTGAATTCTCTAACTATTTCAAGTTACTTTACAATTACTTTGCAAATTGCTATTCGTCTTTCATTTGTATGCATATGTTCGTAATTTGCTAATTAACGATTCAGTATAATTCTATAATACTTATTACTTATCTTGTTATAAAATTAACTTGGATATAAAAAGTTGTTTTTTTAAGTCAACAGTTTTGTCAGCTAATTCGATTCTTATCGTTTAGTCGAATGTTGACTTGGGTGTTTCATAAAAACTGCGAGATCATTTATCGACGCGATATATCCCAGTCAACTTGGCAAAAAAGATATCACAGAGTCTGACAAATATGTTTTATATTTGGATATATATCTATAAAAAAAACGTTAAATGCAACCTAACAACAAAATTTTGAAATAAATGTAATGGCTTAACTTATGTACATGTAGCAATATGCCCTTATCATCTGCACGTGGAGATTATGATAATCGGTAATGTTTATGATTATAATTAATATAATCGTCGTTTTGAGCATGATTATCGTTTTTATCGATGTCACAAAGTTGTTTGATAAAAGAAAGCATATCTTAACATGGTGCAAAAAAAAATTACAAACCGCATATCGTCAAATTGATTATTGGAGTGCCTAACATAAAATCCCGTATTGTACACTGTACAGTTCAATTTTCAGTCTGTTTTGAAATAATATTTTCTCTTATTTTTGTCACTCTATGATTTTTAATTTCAAGATTTGTATTACGTGACACGATTTTAACAACAACAGCAGGAATAAAATTATCAAAATTTAATTGAAACAAAATAAAATATGTTTATTTATCTTGAGCGACTAAGCGAGTGACCATTGAGCAAAATTTAATAGAAAGTAAATTGGTTGAGGAAAGTCAAGAGGTTTGAAAATCATCTCTTCTTGTAAACTTTATACAAAGGGATTCGTAAAATTTCAGAAATAGTATGATGAGCAAGGGTAACTTTTCCGAATTATGGAATTCAAAACTTAAGGGTCAGGAGGTCTAGCTGGTGGATAGGGCTCTCTAGATAATATAGGAAATTTGGTTTTTCTACACTTCAGTAGTCGTTCTGTAACTTTTATGCTTACATGTTAAAATAATGATGATAACGAACAGCTAGTGATCAATCTAAAATTTCTATAAACGATACAAATTTGTGAAGAGGGCATAATACAGGGCACCCTGAAAAACCAGAAGTGGGGATCAGGTGCCTAGGAGAAGAGAACATCCCCTGTTGACGGGGCGCACTTCCCGTATTCAGATTCTGTATAAAATAAAAAAAAATTATGATAGGTATGAAACAAGTCAGTCAAAACACGGCCCAATGATAGTTTATACACTGTACTTGCTAACGTTAAATTATAGATAAATTTAAGTTATACTGATTGATTGTATGTTGTTTAACGTCCCTCTTGAGAACGTTTCACTCATATGGAGACGCTACAACTTAATGATAAAGCAGTGTAATTTAAGGAGGCTGGGGGGTCAACAAATTAATCACAAATTAAACCACCAGATTTAACTTATTTTTTTAGATACGGTAACTTAAGCTGTCTACTTTCATTTCACAAAGAAAAAATTCATACATTTTAGTTTTAAAATTTGATCATTTTCTATATCTTCATATGGAGCTCTCCTTTTAAAGGAGATAAAAATAGTCTGAAAATGGCTGCCACACCCCAGCCTCGTTAATAAAAGTTTTATAAATGAAATATACCACGATTGTCATTTTAAATTTTTTTAATACCTTCGATATCCGAGTCCTTATCCCACGGATATTGACAATGAATTATTTTCTCCAATGCATTGTTATAGTTGGAATATATTCTATTTATTATTATGAGAAATTTGTCATTATCGTAATGTATGGGATATATTCCATGTTTCACAATGTATGGGAGAAATTGTTTGATTGTCAATCCCCGTGGGACTTATCCCATTTAAACATATCTGTGGGAGAAAAAATCCCGTAGGAGAAAATATCCCATCTGACATTTTTTTCTCCCATGGGAGAATGGTGGGATAGTTCGTGGGATTGAAAATCCTCCATTCTCCCATAGGATTCTGAGTTTGAGGACTTCATATCTTTAGAAGTGAAGATGTTTGTGAATTCATCACGAGACCCTGGGATACTGCTAAGAAATCCAACCAAGTAATATAAAAATATTTTTGATATCACAATAAGGAATGGTAGTAAAAAGTCTGGACTATGTCGTGTCCGGAGTTAAATGTCATACTGTTTATATTAGAATCTTTCAAATACTAAACACATGCTAAAGGTATACTTAATTCATATATTACCAAGTTAAAATTTAACATAGTAATACAATTTCTCTATACCATGTTCGGTAAACATCAAAGGATCAAAGGTTAATTTGAAGGTCCCCACGAGTGCCAAACAAGGTGTACTGGACCAGTAAGTAAATGTCAATCAAGTTTCAGCATCCAATGATGGACCTTCATGAACTTGATTGACAGGGCTACCCAGATCAGGTATTTTTGTAGGCGGTGCTTAAAATCTCTGCCTTTAAACACAATCTTTCAAATATATATTTCTTAACAATTTTTAAAAAATAAAAATAACTCTTGCTCGCGAGAATTGAAAATAGAATTGTATGCATAGCAGATTACGAGTTCAGTCAAATGCACGTAATTTGAGAGTGCAAGGTATTATATGAAGATAAAAAGAATATGTAAGTATGAAATTTTTTATACATAATACATACTCTATTACACTATCATTTATGCAAATAGATTAATAGAATTTAAATGCGGATTTCATGTATTTATCTTACTTTTCTTTGGTACACATAATCCTAGAAACACCCAGAAAACAGAACATAATGACGTGTTAAAATTCCAAATATTCATAATAAAGCCGTTTGTCATATCAATTTAATTCCATGAAAGTAAAGATAGTAAAATTATGCACATTCTTTTAAATATAATAAAGAAATGAATAAAGGTACGTGATAACCAAACTTTGAATACAAGATTAAAATAAACAGAGTCGACGTGTGGAAGGTTTCATCAGATATAGGTAAATAAATCACTTTGAATACAAATGGGATTTTGTTTGTTAGTGATTTGATAAATTGTTTGGTGTATAAATCCAGTAAAATTATTTTAATGGAATAATTTTAATCAAAACTTATAATTACTTAAGCTTTAATCAATGTTAAGGCGTTTGTAGGAATTTTAAAATGATCCTTGAAGACGTAGTTATGAATCTACGGAAGCGTATTAGTGCCACATAACATTTTTTTTTAAATTGGTAATTCCAACTTTAAAGTTGGCTTTTCCACCTTTAAAGTGGTAATTCAAACTTTAATCTTGGCTTTTCCAACTTTAATTTTGGCTTTTCCAACTTTAATTTTTTCTTTTCCATCTTAAAAGTTTGTAATTTCAACTTTAATCTTGGCTTTTCCAACTTTAAAATTGGTAATTCCAACTTTATTCTTGGCTTTTCCAACTGTAAAGTTGGTAAATCCATTTTAATCGTGGCTTTTCCAACTTTTATTCGAGCTCTTCTACCCCGTTTTCTTAGTTTTTTTTTCCTTTTGATTTAATGTACATGTTTCACCAACTTTATTAATGGTAAATTAACACACTGAAATAAATTTGTTTGCAATTTATCAATACAATAAAGGTGATACAACAATTAAGTACTAGTACTCGATGTAATCACTTTTTATTTAATCAGATGATTCATTGTCTGCTACAAATACAACAGCTCTAAATGTATCAATTCTGTACATGTATGGCGCGGATCCACGATTTTTTCAAGTGGAGCACACCGGCCAGAAATATGTTGACAAGCAAATAAATAATAAAAATCCTTTCTTAAACGTTAAAAACCTAGCTACGGGAGGTAGTCGTTGATTTCTACAGCTTCATATCTATTTCATGTACTTTTCATGCCCAAACAACACAGATATGAATGCGTTTTCTTGGGTGGGTGGGGGGGTCTAAGGGCCGTCCAAGGTAACTTTTTATAATTTGCAAATTCGGGGGGGGGGGGGGGGTAGGGTATCCGACAACCCAATCCATCTATATCCGCGCATGCTGTACATGGGACACAATAAAATTATTCCTTCTTTCATCATTTTCATAATTAAATTGTATCTTTCAATTGCAATTACTTGTATAACGAGATTAGCAACAAAGTATCTGAATATAACGCATGATGTCGTCCAAAGTTGGAAAAGCCATGATTAAAGTTGGAAAAACCAACATTTTAAGTCGGAATTACATCTTTAAGTTGGAATTAACACGTTTAAATTTAGAATTACCAAGTTTAAAGTTGGAATTACCAAGTTTAAAGTTGGAATTACTAACTTTAAAGTTGGAATTACCAACTTTAAAGTTGGAAATGCCAAGATTAAAGTTGAAAAAGCCAAGATTGAAGTTGGAATTACAAACTTTTAAGTTAGAAAAGCTAAGATTTAAGTTGGAATTACGAACTTTAAAGTTGGAAAGGCCAAGATTAAAGTTGGAATTACAAACTTTAAAACTGGAAAAGCAAACTTTAAATTTGGAATGTTACGTGGCACTAAAACGCTTCCATATGAATCAATATCTGACTGTCTGTCTCTTCTTCCTCCTTTCTTTCTCCCTCTATGTTTTAACATACCAGCGATGAAGGAACTTGCTTACCGGTAACATATGAAGAGGGCAAAATAATTTTTGACCTCTCTTGGCTTCCTTCCCTGGTGATATATTTCTGCCACCTACATGCAAGATAAATTATGTTAACATGCAACAGAATTATGCAAATATGCGACCAATTTCTGTCAACAGAATGTTGACATACAAGTTTTACTTACCAATCTTTATTTTTGAAAATGTATTTTTGGGTAAATTTACTGACTAACGACAGTATCAGACATTATATATCCAAAATTCAACATGATCCCTGCTTTATTTGTGGAATGCATGCAAGATACGTCATAATTATGCTGATATTAAAATTTTGTTAACAAGCAAGAGGATTTTGTTGGAATGAATGCCTTCGGCATCGGGCGATATAATATTCCAGGGGTTTCCTGTCATCTTGGGGTCACACACATGCAAAGCCATGTGGTATATGTATAATGTCAGCATGCAAGATAATAAGTTGCATATCAACTGTGTCGCATCTTCTCATAATTAATTATCTAACGTGTTGACATATTTTTCTCGAATATTTACATGATTTGGACAGATAAGGTACATACAACAAATTTTTATTTCTTAAACTTTCAAAAAATGACATTGAAATGTAAAGCTAAACGTTTTCCCACTTTTTACATAATTATGTATTTTGACCAAACGAAAGATCTAATCATTAAAACAGATATCATATTTGGTACACCTATAAAAGCAAAGATTGGTTTAATCTATTATATAGAATTAAAAACAACACGTAATAGACTACCGGTAGTCAAGTTCTTTCTTTTGAAAGTTCTCCCAAATTATGGCAAGTGGATTTTCTTTAGATCAAATTTTGTTACGATGTGTAACATACAAATAATGAAATAATTTAAGCAGGTCTGGTAATACAATTAAATTAACCACAATGAACAAAATAGCTATCCCTACAGATCCGACATACAATGCTTGTGGTCTGTTATCTTGCGCAGAAATTTTACTTCTTCTGTAGATAGACGTTGTTTTCTTTGAAATTGTTAAATTCTGCACAATAACAGCTAATCTGGCGAGGAGTTCTGATTCCGTTAAGGTGGTGTTATGTTTTTTGATACATGTACACGGACAGGGAGACACGATTGTACTTGAAACTGTCGTTGTAGACATTAAATTTTGTGTCGATGTCGTTGTAGACATTTGTTCCGATGTCGTTGTAGGAACTTGTGTCCAGGTGGTTGACCATGTATCGGTCGATGTAGTTGTGGATATTTCAGTTGCTATCTTCACACCTGCTGTTGTTCTCATTGTGGCTGTTGACATCATCGCTGTGGACAATGGCGTTACTGAATTCAAAGATATGACTTTCTTGTGATAAGAATAATTAATCAGATAATACCGTTATTATAATAACTGAAAATTCATTAAAAACAAAAACCAAAACTCTCCATTTTATCCCAATTTAGTAAGAAATTGTGATAATTTGATTTAATAATTTATGATTACCTTCACAGCCAAGGACATCAAAGCGTAGACTGCAGTAATCATGACAGTCCGTGGGATAGAGTCGTAGATAGCGAGCATTTACTGGAAATGGGAGGTCATTTCTCACTAAAGTTGTGGAGTCACTATTTGCGTGGAATTCCTAAAAACAATAAGTCTATCAATTCTATATTTTCATAAGGTTCTTTATTTAAAATAATTTATCTCTGAATGAAATGACCCTTAAGAGATATTGTTTTCTGTGTGCTGTGTACATCATATATGAACAAGAATTGTTTGTGACACATTGATGCTCCCACATGGCAGCTTATGGCGTTGGTTGAAGTTTCTAGAATGCGCATGTCCAACGCAAAGTCAAAAGGGCAAAATTATTGGTATCCAAAGGAGGGTCTTGTCACAAGAAATACACCTGTGAAATGTGAAAGTCCTAAAACTAACTGTTTAAAAGTTATTTCTAAGATTAAAGGTTTTAAAAATGAGTAAAACCCAAAGGTCAAAGTCAAAAATCTTTATACCCACTGAAAAGTCTTGTCACAATGAATAAACATGTGAACTTAAGGTATGAAAGCTCTAGCACCTACTATTCAAAAGTTAATGCCAAATTAAAAGTTTTGTAATTTTTGTACAATTGGGTCAAACTCAAAGGTCAAGAAGTCAAATTTGGTTGTACCTGATGAAATAATACACCTGTAAAATATATGAAAGCCATAGCCCCGCGCACTCAAAAGTAATGAGCAAGATTTAAGTTTTTGCGGACAGACTAGCAAAGAGATAGACGGACAGTCAGGCCAAAAACTATATACTCCCAAATCTTCGATTACGAGGGGCATGAAAATACCATATTAGCTACAAATACGTATTAATTAATGGAAATCCCCAATCATGATATCATGATAAGAATGACCTATCTTCATTTCTCTCTCTCTCTCTCTCTCTCTCTCTCTCTCTCTCTCTCTCTCTCTCTCTCTCTCTGAGTTATTAAATATATATTTGAAGTAACAAAAATGATTTAAGATTGTCTAGGAACTTGATGGAATCTTTGTATGATAACAAGGATATTTTTGACAAGTTAACGAGCTCTATGATAAACGTGATGACTAACTTTTCTATCGTCAACTTCCCTTACTTGTTCAGTTGATTCGATACGCAAGAGCATGCTGTACGTATGAACAATTTCTAAAACGATGTATATTATTGAAAATCAAGTTAATGAAACAAGAATATGAGCAGTCTCGTTTAAAGTCATCAATTCGTAAGTTCCACGGTCGATACAATGACCTTATCAGCAAATACAATTTATCATTGAGTCATATGCTGACTGAGGTTTTTCATACTAATTGTTAGGCCATTGTTTACACACTGAATTGTCGACGGATTTTCCCATTATTTCTTGATCATGACAAGGACCACAGGAGCACAGGGCGGTTGTGACCGGTCGGCAGGGGATGCTCACTTCTCCAGGTACCTGATCCCACCTCTGATACTTTGGATGTCCGTGTTTGTTCTGCTCCAATTTTGAATTTTTTAATGGACTTTTGAACTTGAATACTGTTCTTAATCTTCATAGATTTCATTTCAAGAACACCCAATGCATTTTGATAGTAACATTAATATGGAAACATCCTCCGGTAGTTGAAATTAGATGTTGAAAAATCATGTTCCATATAGGTAGCAAAGGGGCAGGATAAATGATTAAAACTTAACATTAAAATATATGGGAAAATTCATCTTATAAAGAACAGCGTAGCAATAGTGAATGAAGAGTAGATCGATTCTATTGGGCATCTTCTAACTTATTATGAGAACATAGTTTTAAAGTAAGATTGCTGTATAATTTAAGAGTAGCTTTTAAAAGACCTTGAACACTTGTTTTTGAATGGAAAAAGCAAACGTTTTGTAACATATACTTAAGGAATCACTGTCTAGTTAGTATAGTATGCCTGGAACATCAACGATAATGGGAAACATGAAACCATAAAACCATAATTAACATAACGTCGTCGATTTATCTTTACGAGGGCTGTTCGGATATTATTGAGACAATTACATTTACTCCATAAAGTAGGGAGATAATTTCATGAAAATTCATCAACATTTTTTAAAGAACGAATTGAACAATTATGCAAAATTTCTAATTCCTATGATAATAAGAAAAGTTTCGGTGAAATGATAAACATGCATAAGTATATCGACCCGGAGCAGCATCGCTACATCATTTTACGTCACGTTAGCCGGAGATGGTTTCGCAAGTAAGACGATCGCGAAGCATTTAATACTTTTTCCTTCTTTGTTATTATATATAACTTTACAAAAATCAAACAGTCTCTTTTCTCAGCCTATTCTTTAAAAATGTATGGCGTTGCTACCCCGGTGTAAAATTTTCATTTGTGGGAAAGGATGACTTAGAAACATGCAGTGCCGATTTATGCAATTCGGGTCAACGATATAAAAACCGTAACGATATTAATATCGTATATAATAATTGATGGTTGTCCGGTGCTTTTGATTTCACTTTGGTTGAATTAATTGTAAAAAAAAAAAATATGTATATCAATGGGAAAAAAATCCAACACATTATTTTTTTTCCCGTTGTTATGGTTTTATCAGGTCGTCCTGTCTGGAAAAGAGTTCTACATTGCGATACACACAATTTCAGGTATGTTGGCTGCTCCGCCCTTGACGTCAAAATCCATTTTTTCGTTCTTTGCAGATTTCTCTTCCGCGCTTAATTTTTTAATTATCTCCGTATTTGAGATCAAAATTCTAACAAAGTTGCACAACATGAATTTGAAATAAAGCTGAAAAATTATACACGTAAACTGAATTATTTTCGCTCTTATTATGGGTCCACGAAGAGTTAGAAAGTTGGTGTTACATATTTTCAATATCTGATTTCGTGACTGCTCCGGATACCCCAACTATTGACGCATTTATGTAGCATTGTACAGAAAATATTCAAAATTTGTAGAATATTTTTTGCTTTTATTAATTCTTAGTGTATGTCAAACGTATATGCAAAATTTCACCGAAAGACGTTCATTAAAAAGCAAAGTACACACAATGTCTCAATAATTTTCGAACAACCCTCGTATGTCGAGTTAAAGGCAACAGCAAGTGTTCAATTCTTTTCACATATAAGAATTTGAACAAATTCTGCTTCACATGAATACAAAAATAGGTCTGCTAATATCAGGACGCAACTGGTACCCATATGAAACTACCCAAATATTGTCAAACAGAAACTCAAGCATCTTTTAATGGTGCATGGACACAGGTTTATTATCAGATGTGGATACTTTTGGAAAATTTGAAATCACAATAGCATCAAAACGTACGACTTTTCAACTTTATATACAACCGTTCCAATTGGTAAATGAAA